AACTGGTACCAAAGTTGCCCAGCAACACTACCACCCGCTTGCACAACATAACGAAAGGATCCACTATACCGCAAAATTTCAGCAGCACTCCCCCGAAAATAGTGTTGTCGATGAACCGTAAATTTTGCGGTATGGCCCCACTCAAAATGCCGACGTTGTTGTGCCGTCAATCAGGCAACGTCTCCCTACATACACACCCCAAACAATGCAGGTGTCGTGCGGTAAGATCAGTAGCACAACCCCACTTGTCGCATGCCTGGTCCCATGAAAGCCTCACGGCCGCGGTACTACTGTAAAGATGGGGCAGAGAGTTTCCAACCCTTGGCTATGGCTGCACTGGTCTACGTTCCCTCTAGAGTAGCAACTCCTTGCCTCTACCGGCAGACCTCCCTCTTACTCTTCAACATCAACACTTTCTCCTTATGGTTCTTTTAACGCAGTGCAACATCTGACCAACACTCAAATGAGTGAGAGCACCAGCAACACTGCTACATTTGTGAGGCAGCAGGGTGGAGTGCTGACTTTTATAGCTGTTGGAGGGTGGTGGACAGCGCTCTTGCCCACAGACAAAAATTGTGGTTCAAGTTGAGCCCTTGATCTGAGGCAAGATCAAGGGCCTAATGTGGTTGCACCTCAGTCATACACATAGGGACGCAGCTACCTTCAACTGCTTCCTTTTATTTTTATTTTTCTTACCTCAACTATCTCATAATTTTACAAGATAGATGATGGTCTATCATTTTTAAAATATAGATTTTTTCTTTTCTCTGTTTGAAAAACAACAATCCTTCAAAGTTTGACGTACCCCACATTTTCCTAGTACAGGTATGTCGCATAAATGGTTGTACTTGACTATTTTTACCCTATGGCTTTTCAGACTTTAAGCCCAGTTTGAGCGGTCACACTCGGACTCAAATGGTCTGTATTTGGAGTGTAGTCGCAACCATTACCTTTTTCTTGTTTCCCTCTTTCTTTCCTCTTTTTCCTCTCTCCCTTTTTTTTTTTCCTTTTTTTTTAAAACCTCTCGTTTTCTTCCTAGAGGGCAGTCCGTCGTTCAAATAAACGCTCCCTCCCCCCCCCCGGCTTTACTTATTTCACAAAGTCGAACTAGTGTCAAGCTTAATAGAGTCTCCTTTCCCCTGCCCAATGTGTGCCTGTACCCGATCGCCAATTGCGTCAGGTTCTCACGCGTTATTGACAGTTGCAGCCTGTTTCCAAAACGAACAGACGCAACTGGGAGTGACAAAAAATAGAAGAAAAAAAATAAAAAATAAAATAAAAATTAAACCTACCTATAACGAACGGGTGTTTTAACCCCTGTTGCTTTCGTTTTTAAAGACTAAGTCCGTGCAGTTTCCTTTGCGCCACTTGCCGTTTTTTTTAATTTTTTTTCCCCTTTCCCATCGCCCTTGCCCGTTTATTCAAACGAATGGGCGCAAAACTAAGGAAAAAAACAAAACTAAATCTAGCAAAAACAGTAGGAAAAAAAAAAAAAAAACGAAAAGACAAAAACCAAAATAACAAGCAGAAATGGTTGCTTGTTATTGCGGGCACCTGCAAAGGTTACTTCCCCTTTGCTCATCTCTGTTCGCCAGCTGGCGAACCATTTCAAGGATTGCGTTTTTTTTTTCCGCTCTCCTGTTGGCTTACGTCAACGATTTTCCTCTCTACTATGTCGTGTCTCACTTGTACCTTGTGACTGCTGAAATGCGAACCGGAGTTTGAATCCATACAAATTTGATCAAAACAAAAAAATAAACTTTTTTTTTTTTTTTTTTAATTTATGCGTGTCATCCTCCAACCTGCGTGGCTGATTTGAGTCGCGTGATCTCATCGATCACATGGCAGAAATCGCTCGCGCTTGATTTGCCTAATCGGGGTGTCCAACTCCAAAAGGAGCTAGCCCAGTGAGACGGGTTGGATTCAATTCGGCAGTCTCTAGGGTGAGAGTCATGTATTGTAACGTACTGGGCTAGCCCCTTCTACGGGTATAGAAGGACCAATTTTTATATAAGAACAACTCACACCCAACCAGTGTGCATACCTATGGTTTGGAAGACCCCAACGCCTCCTTTAGCCGTAGGGCCGACATTTCCTTGCTCTATCGTGGATGCGCACCCTGGCGCGGTGATTCTTTTTGGTTACTCAGGCTCTGAATTGAGCGGCTTGACAGTCGCGCATCCTTATTTTAAATGAGATAGGTTATAATTTATTATCTTACCTACCAGGCGTTCTTGCAGCTTCGTCAAAAATGAAATGGAACAAATCATACCGCCTATCCCGGACACATGTGGATTTAAGTTTAAAAAAAAAAATTTAACCTCTTAGTCGCAAGTCGGGTCCGAATAAACTTTCGGCAAATGCGTCAACCTCATTCAGTCATTTTTTTTTCCATAAATGTCGGACAATGTGCGATATTCAAAATCCCGAGCAAATACCCTTGTAAGGGCTTCTTATTCGACAATAAGACTCTTTTTCCCCTCCTCATCTAATTCGTTGAATGAAATACTGGTTATTGTTTATGACATGCTTCATGTCTGCTCACGGATCCTGACTAGGGATCGTAACTGAGAGGAAAAGGTTGAAAAAATTCGGTCGAGGAGGCAAAATGGAGGGTGAAGCAGCATCCGATATCGGACTTGGTATGGGCGAAGGAGAGGGAAATACAATTGGTGAGGTGCAGGACTAGCTCACAAGGGAGACATTTTAAAGGCTGCTCCCTAACATGTCATTTCATCAGGCGGTCCAACTTAATCATGTGTTTGGTCCTATGACAATCCCAACCTCGGGCTTCGGATGGTATGCTAGAGTATGTCCGCCTACCTTGACATTTTTAGCACCAAACGTACGCAAGACACCATCCACCCTGACCTCTTTAAGGAAATCGGCATGTGGGCAAATGCAGCAGTCAAACTAACGACAGAGGAGCGACTCTACCTTGACAGACTGATCAGGGAGGAAGTGCGATAAACATTGAGGGAGACAGGGTGGATGACAATGAAGTTTTATAGGGAATGTTTGGATGAAGTAGGCCCTCCGGTTGTTGAAGTTTATGACAATATTTTGAGCGGAGAACAGTGGGGTGAAAGGATGATCTACGGTGTGATCTCACTCATGTTTAAAATAGGGATGAGGCTAATGTCAGGAACTACCGCCCCATCTCAGTGCTAAAGTAATGACAAAAAGCAAACCCCATTATGAGGTGAAAGATCTGTGACCACGTTGAAAAAAGCTTGCAGCAAGGAAAAGATTGGTGACCCTTATTAAACCACTAGTACCTTTCTTAGCTATCAAGTCCGACCCTGGAGCTACCGATAAGCCGAGTCTGGTCGAGCCTAGAGCTACCGGTATCACCACGAGTTTCCTTAAAAAAAAAAAAAAAATCTACTTAAAAAAGGAAAAATAAAAACGTAGAAACAACGCGCTGGAGAGAGAGAGAGAGAGACCGTATTATATATTTCTTAGTTTTTCATTTTTTTTGGTGTCAATAGTGTTTTTTAACTTTTTTGTTTTTTTTTTGGTTTGTAGTCGCTCCCCGGTCCTCCAACTGCGGCTGGGTGTTTGTGAGAGTGACCCCCGTGCTAACTGCCGCATGTTTGTTTTTCAAGCGGGTAAAGATACTGGTGGAATTTTAGTTGTGTTGGAAAAAAAGTGTACTCCTCCCCCCCCCCAAAAAAAAAACCCTTCCGAGAGCTGTTAGACATCACCATGGAAAACAAGTTGCTCTACTCTCGCTTTCGGGTGGCATTGGGTCTCACTCCACTACTTATTGGGGCTCGCTCCACTACTCTCGACTCACGAATCATGAATTTTCGTGAGTCCGGAGCTGCTCCACTTACGAAAAAGAGTCTTGAAATTTGAGTCGAGAGCTGTCAGGCTTCGCTCTCGATTTGAACTCTCGAGGGGTCAAGAGTCCCCATCCGACAAACTCTTGAATTTCAAGGGTGGTCCACCGTGCCTCCCGCCGTCCTGAACCGCCTTGAAATTCGACAGTTCACTGGTAGACAAACTAGGGGTTGGGGTGTCAGGTAGTGATGGCCCGTAGTACTGTTAGAGAGTGTCATGTTAGAGAGTACATGGAGCGAGGCTGCAAGTTTTGAGTGTGTAGAGAGTGTAGAGGGTCTGAAAGCTCTCGAACTACTCTCGAAACTTGTCACGAGTAGAGAGTAGTGGAGCGAGGAGGGTCCTCGCCCGTGCTCTCCGAACAGGCTCTCTTCTCCAGAGTCCACCGAAGGGCCTCGGCGGGGTTTTTTGAGGTTTGATAAACCTGGAAGCTTGTAGAGCAAGTGGGTCGAGACTGGGATTTTCCAGCTTTGATAAACCTAGTCCATTACGTCTCCTGGGCCTATAGAAAAAGAGAAGAAGATTAGACCGTCAATCTTCCATATCGTGACCTCGCCTCGGTAGAAAGCAATGTTCTGAAAGCCAAATTTGTCCTGAAAGCCGAATGTGTTCTGAAAGCCAAATGTGTCCTTTGGGACATCTGTTAAGATTGGAACGATACACAGAAGATTAGCATGGCCCCTGCGCAAGCATAAATGGAGAAATGGAAAGCCAAATGTGAAAACAGAGATGATGCCCCTGTTTTTATATTGCGTCGGTTCATTCATAACCGCATTACGGGCATCCCCATTGACAGCCTCCCCCGGCCCTTACTAGGGAACATGGAAAGATGCACCGAGATGTTTTTTTTTTTTTTAATTCACATTTGGTGAGTGCTAGGGCGAGCTTCCCTTTGTGTGCTTGCGCGGGTGCCTGCTTGTGTGTTCGTGCGTGTCCGTGCGCGTTGTGTGCGCGTGTGGGTGTGTTTGCGGTCGGCGTGTGTGTGGGTGTGGGTGTGGTTGCCGTTCACACACACACACACAGACAACATACACAGAACAGACACACACACACACACAGAACACACACACACACACAGAACACACACACACACACACACACACAGGGGGGCGCGCGGAATTATGAACAGCGTGCTGCTTTGGACTGAGGCTGGAAGTCGCCAAGAGTCGAACCTTCTTTTGTTGGTCGTCGGAGCGGTGAACAGCTCCGCGTGAAAGAGGTAAGCTGCGAGCTTATCCTCTCCTCTCCTCCTCCTCCCTTTGTCCTCGACTCTCCATCTTTCGAATCCTGTCGCAATATCCGTCTGGACCTGCTCAACCCATCTCCCTTTTCCCGCGGCGACCTAAGAGTCGAACCTTCTTCAGCTCCCGTCACTGTGGACTCCCCGCCCCCGCTCTGCTTGCGCGCCATTATTTTCGATCTCACTCCTGTCCAACAGACGACCAGCTTATGTTTAGTTTTGTTGTTTGTGTTTATGTGTCACACTCACACTCACACACAGACGGACACACACACACACACACACACACACACACACACACACACACACACACACACACACACACACA